GCACAGAGAAGATAGTGTTTATTGTCTTGATGATGGATGTATTTTTCACATTTAAATGTCTAAGGTTTGAATTGTTGACGATCTGAAACGCGTGTCACATGCTTGTCATACTAGTCGAGCAGCTCTGGAGGCAGCACCCAAACAGACACAGCAGACACAAACCCAAGCTGACGTCAATGGAAACAATTCCTGTATTTTTACGCAACGTTGACACAAAAAAAAAAAAAAACAATCTGCAAATAAATTCTCCTGAAACCACTACTGGAAGATTGAAAGTAATCCAACAATATTTACAGTAAAAAGAGATAACATTAAACAATATATTACTTAAAAATTCAGGTATTTCAATCAACCCGACCACCAAATCAATTTCCTGCTAGTTTCCCGTCCCAGAACAATTCACCCCCAGGGAAGGTTTTGTCTGCCACACCTGCTGGGTGATGAAGGATTACAAAAGTAAATATTTACAAGGAAAAGGAAACCTGCCATACTCTAGGTCCTTAAAATAGTTTGATTTATGTTACTGCAGTTAAAACAAACTATTAAAAGGGTGTTCAAAGTGGGACCCAGGGGCCAGATTACAGCCCTCAGAGAAACTTTCAGTCACCCTTGTTCACAATTCCAAATTAGGTTTGTGACTGATGCAGAAATACATTTAGAAAGAAATACTGGGATTTTTTTTTTTCCTTTCAAAAATGACAGTTTTAACCTTCTTTAAATCAAGAATATAATGTCCAATATATTCACCTTTTGTCTGTGATGTTTAGTTTTTTACATTTGGTGATGGGACGAAAAACATCCAGCTATTAACCCTAAAATAATATAAAACCTTCATCTTTTAAATTGACGATGATTTATAAATATTTTTTCTACAGAAATTGGACAATTTTTGCTTGTTTAATTTAATTTCTTTGTGATTCATACATTTCTGAGCAATAAAAAAAAGTCAAATAGCTAAAGATTTTGCAATTTGTGCAGGAAAATTCCTCTCAGGGTTTGCCTACAGTCTTTACCAAAAATCAACGTATTCAGCCATCCTCTGGATGAGATTTTGTGGCTTTCCATGCCTCCATCCTCCCAAAGGCTAGTCCCCCCAACCTGCAACCATGACAACCAGTCAGAGTTCATAAAGATAGCGGCTAGGCTTGCAGAATAATGCATGAGAAGAAGGCCGGAGCTCAACCAATGGGCTGTTTAAGACCGCTGTGGACAGCTTACATGGCTGTTACAGAATGTTTATAATGTGAATTTTACATAATATAGGATCTTTAAAAATAACTGCCAACTGACTGACTGATTCACATAACTAAAAGGTGTATTTCCTGCCTGAATACAAAGAAGAACTCCCTTTAACTGATTTTGTTTTTGCAGGAGGTCAGCGCCTTCGGAGAGAACGGAGAGGGGGACGATCTAGATGTGTGGACCGTCCAATGCGATGGGATCTACTGGGAGCGGGATGAAACTGTACGCTTCAAACATCTGGGCACAGAAGTCTTCCTCAGCGTTACAGGCGAGCAGTACGGCCACCCGATCCGTGGACAGCGGGAGGTGCACGGCATGAGCTCCCCCAACCAGCACAACTGGTGGCGCACCATGGAGGGCGTGTTCATTCAGCCCAGCCAGGAGCCGCTGCGGCATGATGAACTCTGACATGAGCTGAATAGTTGATTTTGGACGTGCTCTCTTCTCTTGCGGCGCTTTCCAGCTCCCTGAGCCAAACGTTTTTTTGAGTGATGTAGATATGACTTTTAATGTGACCTGGGGGGGGGATGTCTATTGAATCTGTACACACTGTAGTCCCGTTAAAGTGTGTTTTTCAGAAAACACAAACTTTAATAACGCATATGGCGTTTAACCCGTCCTGAATGTCCTCAGTTCACTCCTGTTCTTTACTGAGTTTGTTTAGAAATGGATCCAGTGTCATTCCTTCAAATAGACTGTGTTTTAATACAGGTTTGCTTCAATCAATGATTAGATTTAATGTTGACTTAAGAAGGGAAAACTTGCTGAAAGTGCTGATGGCGTTTACATTCACAGTACAACTTTCTGACAGACTTTGATTTCTTCTGATAAAAAAAAAATCTGTAATCAGGTGTGCCACCAGGCATCTTAACTCCTTTCTGTGGTTATAAAGTTTAGTTCCATAACTCTGGTGTCTTCATCTGGCATAATTTGATTGAGTTTGTGGAGTTTAGTACATTGTTTCTTTACATATAAGTGATTTTAAGCCTTAAAAAGTCTTAATTACACAGATTTGTTATAATACGTCTGAACTAGGGATGCACGATATTGGGATTTTGGCCG